GTCACATCAGGTCCGCCTTGTCGTCGTCCCAAGGAGAAAGGGGAAGGAGGGGAGGGACTTCCTTTCAGCTGTTGGAAGGGAGCTGGAGAGCAGAGCCAGGCAGAGGCGCAGGGCAGCACCTGCTTTGGCCTCTTCTTACTGGGGTCCCTCCATCCTTTGAGGAGCTGAGGGCCCAGCCCCGGAGCCTGTTTCTGGATGGGTCAGGCACCGCTCGGTCAACAATGGCACTCAGGTGCCTACTGCTGGCACTGGGGCCCTGCAGCAAGTAGGTCTGGGAGATAATTCTTCTTGGGGAGGGAGTCTGTCAGAGTCCAGGGATGGGGGGACCGGCAGCCCTGTCTACATCGCTCCATGAAGTGTGACCATCAGAGGGACCTCGCCAGGGAGCATGGGGAGAACACTTGCCCCCCGCCTCCCGGGGCTGGAGCTGCGGCTTGACTCCCCACATCCCACAGACCCCACGGGTGCGTGGACTGCTGCCCTGAGCTGCAGGAGACCTGTGCAAGCCCAGGTGAAGGCTAGATGGTGGGAGATTAGAACGGGAGAGCCTGAGGCTCAGGGTCTGGTGACACCCCCACTGTCTGGCAACCCAGATGGACTCAGACCACGCTGGTCACCTGGCACCTTTGCTGGCTCCACACCACTGGGTCTCAGGGTGATGTCCTCACCTCCCTCGGCAGCCAGGCTGGCTCAGGCGTCCCCTGCTTGGCTCCGACCCCAGAGGTCTCCTGGGTGATGATCCTGAGAGCTGTGGGTGCTGAGCCTTGGGCCCTGTGCCCAGTGCTGTGGGCAGCTGTCCGCTGGAATTCTCCCCACAGTGCCCACGTGCCAAGACCCCCTGCTACTGAGTCAATACAGAGTCACAGTGACCCTACAGGACAGAGTGGAACTGCCCCATAGAGTTCCCAAGGCTGTCGTCTTCAGGGAAACAGACTGCCACATCTTTCTCCCGGGGAGTGGCTGGTGGGTTCGAATCGCCAACCTTTGGTTGGGAGCTGAGCGCTTAACCACTGTGCCACCAGGCATCCTTAGTACAGGTATCATCCCCATTTTATGGGTGGGAAAAGGGGGTCAGAAGAGGATGTGAAATGAGGGATATCATTGCTGATGTCAGGTGGATCTTGGCTGAAAGCAGAGAAGACCAGAAAGATGTTTACCTGTGTTGTATGGATTAGGCAAAGGCATTCGACTGTGCGGATCATAACAAATTACAGATAACGTTCCTAAGAATGGAATTCCAGAACACACTTAATTGTGCTCATGAGGAACCTGAACAGAGACCGAGACCAGGAGGCTGTCATTTGAACAGAACAAGGGGATACTGTATGTTTTAAAAGCAGGAAGGGTGAATGTCAGGGTTGTATCCTTTCACCATACTTATTCAATCTGTATACTGAGCAAATAATCCAAGACACTGGACTATGTGAAGAATGTGGCATCAGGATTGGAGGAAGACTCATTAACAGCCTGTGATATGCAGATGACACAATTTTGCTTGAAGCACCTATTGATGAAGATCGAAGACTACAGTCTGCAACATGGAT